TGAGAGTAATCATAGATATTCAAAGACATTACTAAACATTGCGATTCATCACCATTATACCCCCATTAAATCTCCATAGTGCTACCATTTTTTGTTGCCCTCTGGTAAACATACAAACAACTATGGAAAATCACATTTTTTATTGAGTAAACCAACGGATTTTTTATGGCAATGTTCAATAGCAAACTGTTAGTTTACCACAGGGTAACATGAAAATTCCACTAAATCACCATTTTTCTTGGTTAAATCCCATCAAATCACCATCAATATCCTATTATATCACCAGAGGGCAGTTGAAACATTCGTTGTTGGTGAAATCCCTCTGTCGCTGGGAGGCTTCCCTCCGCAAGCTTTGGCAAAGAGGTCTCGATGGACACGGCGAAGTTCTTTGGGTCGACTGGATGTGTGGTTTAACATGGTTTGATATGGTTTTAACATGGTTTAATATGGTTCAATGGTGGTTCAAAAGTGGTTTAATATTGCTTTAATATTGCTGTTGAAATGTGGTTTAAGATTGGACTTAACCCAAAATTGATTTTGTTTGGTTAAATTGGGGAACTATATAGTTGGATATGTTTCACGGCCAGTCTTAGATATTAGATGATATTGGCATGTTTTCGTTTAGTTGGTTAGTCTAAGTCACTGTCACAATGAGGACACTATTAAAGTATATTATCTGGCTATTTAACATAGCGTTGGAAACCGTTGCCCATTTAGTTCGATTTTGTGTGATGAGTTACTGTTTTTAAACATTGTGATTTTATATAGCTATGTTAAAAAATCACCGGAGGGTACCCCCAATAAACCCACCGGATAAGGTTTGGTGAAGTTTCCAAACAAGCTGTTCGCATGGTTTTCCATCATGATTTTTTTTATGGTTCACCATTTCTTAATGGTCAAAATGTAAGCATGATACCTTATGATCTCCTCATGATCTCCTCATTCTACCACTATATCAGACTATATCCTGATCAAAATGTCTAGCATTTTCAGCATCTGGGGATCTCTGGGGCGCCTTTTTTGGGCCAACGCCAGGCTCCAAAAACATGGCGGCCATGCTGCGCTGCGCCTACATGTTGCTGGAGGTTCCCAAAGCACCGGGTGGTCGCAGGCGCCAAACATGGCTGGATGGAAGATGTCGGATGGAAGATGTTGGAACCGGGATGGGGAACCAACTGGAACATTGAAATATCATTTGGGGGTACCCCATGACTTAGGAAACCTCCATATATGGGGGTTTCTGTGGATTTAAACCATCAATTTTTAAGCTGGTTGGTGGTTTGGATCTGGTTGATGATTTTTCCATATATTGGGAATAATCATCGACCAGAATATCATTTGGTACTTCAGAGGTGTCATAACTTATGATATTCCTATGGGCATTCAATGGGACTAGGAATATGGTGAACCCGATGCCGGCTGAAACCGGGGATGATGGGAGACCCCAGCCACGCTTCACCACACTACATAGTTTCCTCCCAAAGCACTTGGGGTTTTCATAGATCTTCCATGGCCAGATTAGATGGGCAGAAGGTAAGACGATCAAAATTCTTAGCGGAACTGCTGAGAAGTGTCTGCTGCACTATTTTCTTGTGCGATTGGAAATGCGGTATGTCAACTTCCAAGTTCAGTTCAGACATAGTCTATATAATTGTCAATGTTTCAGGGTCCCATCATCTTGAAGATAGAATTGGGAGAATCCAATGTTCTACAAACTTGTTTTTTTTCGACACCCCGTTCTCCAAGCACGAATGTTAGGAAGCTACCTGCAGTAGCTCTTAGGAGCAACATGTTGACCGATTTATCCATTTCTTATAAAGAGGCATCCCATTGATCAACGCTGCGGTGCTATACTCCCATCCCAAGGACCCCAACATGATCCAATTCATCCAGCAGGGTTTCAAGAGGGATATTGAATCTGGTTGGTGGTTTGGAATATCTTTTATTTTTACATATATTGCGGAATGTCATCATCCCAACTGACGAAGTCATATTTTTCAGAGGGGTAGGTCGACCACCAACCAGTTGACCATTAGGAGGAAAGGATTACTCTGGGCAACCCATGGGTTATAGCAATAAGTTGCCTGACCCAACATGGACATTCCCACCCTAAGATTCAACAAAAAACATCCAATTATCGATTATTCAAAATTTGGTAACCCCCCAAAAATGAAGGCATCACAATTCACCCAAGCTGGTCCCCCCCAAAAAACCTCTTGCAGCAGCATGGTCTACCTAGTTTGCTTCCTACATTCAACGGCTGGGATGAATTTCCAAGTTTCAACCGTAAATGTTCCATGATCAAGCCTTATCCATAGTGGACACCATAGTTCAATGATGTTCCCAGCGACAAAAACCTCCACTTTTCATGGGAATTTTAAGCTGCATCCATACTGGTCTCTGATGTGAGGTACATCTTGGAAGCCTTCTCCACCCGTCTCACACGGCATTCGGTGCTTTCCAGGACGCTGATCATAAACGATGCGCCAGAAATCGGTGGTTTTTCACTTAAGATGGATAAGATCACCGTGCAATTCATAATTTTGTACTGGTTGGTGGTTTTAAACATGAATTTTATTTTCCATAATAAAAAAGGGATAATTCTTGCCATTGACTTTCATATTTTTCAGAGGGGTAGGTATACCACCAACCAGTGTATGTGTTTGTTGGGTCTTGGCGTCTTTACCATGGTTTTTTTTTGATCACCCATTGAAGCCACTAAACATTGTGGAACAAGCAACACATGGGGATTCCCCAGGTGTGGGCGCGTCCAGCCGTAGCGAGGAAGTGCGACTGAGGGTCCTGATGACTGAGGAGTTATTTAAGATTATATAAGATTATATAACCTTCTCAGGAAGTATGTGGATCCACAGGGATGTGATAATACTCTATGGATCCAAACACTTCGAAGGTAAATCATACCTGAAATACTTCCTAAGAAGGTACTTGGATCCATAGGGAGATAGAGCAATAACAATAATCATAGCAATAATCATAACAATAATAACAATATTCTATAATAGTACCAGTAGCGGGCAAGCAGTTGTTCCTGGTCGAACCCCCCCATGTTTGCACATGATCTAGTATAGCAAACCCCGAAAAGGATATAGAACTAGAAAATATGCGGAAACATTATTTACAACATCCTGCAAACATGTTTCTGTCCTTTTTGCGAGTTAAGTACTATGATGGTATCCTCTGGTAAACATACAAAAAACTATGGAAAATCACATTTTTTATTGGGTAAATGTAAATCAACTATTTCTATTGCCATGTTCAATAGCTATTTTGACATAACCAGAGGGTAATCCTGAGGATCACCATTATAGATCATTAATGTTACTATAATGATATATACCCTCTGGTAAACTCTAACAGATTGCTATTGAAAATTGCCCATAGACATAGTGGATTTACCCATTGAAAATGGTGATGTTCCATAGTTATGTTAGTTTACCAGAGGGTAATGTATATACCCTCTGGTAAACTAACAGATAGCTTTTTCCCAGAGGCTACTTCTTAGTTCGAGGGTCACCAGTCACCTTGGACGTGTCAGGATCATCAGCATGGTGTCTGCCTTGCAGGTGATAGGCCACTCGGTGAACTTCAGAAAGGTGAGCAGTCGCAGAAAGCAGCAAGTTGATGGTTATCTTAGTCAGAAACTACCCAAAATATCCCAAGATATTGATAGATATGATGACTATATATACGTATATATATATATATATACGTATGATATAATAATGATATATATATGTATAATATGTATATATAATATATTATATACATTTAATTAATTTTCATGATATATATATATATACATATTGTGGATAATCCAGTATAAATGGTGGCTTCATGAGAAATTCCCGCCGTTGATTCCTTGCTTCCAACGCTACAGGTCAGCGGCTGAACGATGCCCCGGACTTGGACATCGCCTGCGCGTTGCTGCCCAAGAAATTTCTCAGGACGCTGAAGCTTTCCATGGCCATTTGGTATACAATAATGGTATATACCCTCTGGTAAACATACAAAAAACAATGGGAAATCACCATTTTTAATGGGTAAATCAACGGTTTCCATGGCCATTTTCAATAGCTATGTTAAATTACCAGATGGTAATGGTATATACTGGTATATATAATGGTATGTATAATATGGTATATATAATGGCATAGAATGGTATATAAAATGGTCATTCAATTGTGTATATTGGTATATATAATGGTGTATAATGGTTTATCCATTGCCATTTTATGATATATAATCATATACACATGGTATATATATATAACTTAACCATAGCATATTATAGCCCAGTTATTGATGATTATGTATATATATATAATCATATATGGTGGTGTCCATAGCTATTGGGGTATCCCCAATAGCTGAATGGTTTATTTCATGGAAAATCCATCTATAAATGGATGAAGACTGGAGGTACCCCATGACTTAGGAAACCTCCATATATGATAATATGGTGGTTTCAGTGGATTTAAACCATCAATGTTTAAGCTGGTTGGTGGTTTGGAACAGTTTTTATTTTTCCATATATTGGGAATACTAATCCCAACTGACTTTCATATTTTTTCAGAGGGGTAGGTATACCACCAACCAGTAAGGGATGTTCCAATTGCTTTAAGCATGTTTCTGTTTAAGGCACAAATTCTCTTGATATCAATTCTGAGGGTTGATAGGGACTTTTTTTTAAGGCGAAAGTTTCACCTGGTGTTTTTTTTTTCCACCTGGTGAATCGGGGGATTACTCAGTATACTCCAGACCCTGTCAGCCAAATTTTTGGGGTTGGAAGATTAGCCAGTCATGAAAAGTCTATGTTCAGTCTCTATGTTGATTTGATGAAGAGTATCCAAAAATCCGGGTATCAACCAGTTGTTCATTGGGATGGTGGGTCTTGTCGGGCGCAGAGGCAAGAGAAATGGGGTTGTTGTGAAGTAATTAGAACTATTGTATGTTAAGAAAAATCACCATAAATTGTTATAAATTGCCTAACTAGTCTAACTACATTTAATGTCTTGGGCCTTGGGCTAATCCCAATGTTTTTCCTGCATTCTTTTTGGTCGGTTGCTCAGCGCAGATCTTGACCACCGTTTGGCTGTGTCTAAACAAGGGCCCCGCATCAAAGCCATTCTAGGGAAAACGATGATCAACCATCAAATTTGCCATCAAATTCATCCCCAACCAACTGGATAGGTAGTTTAACTAATCCTTCATATTATTCCTTTGTTCTGTTGCTATTTTTATGGACAATAACCTTAAAATAGCCAGCAAAATCAGCTATAAATCCCATGAATCCCCATTTCGCGTGGCGTCAATCGCCAGGATTTGCGATGCGGCCATCACCAACCTGCCTCTCTGCCAAAGTCCTGAAGATGTCGAGGCGGTACTGGGATGGCCCGTGTCGTCATAGGATCTAGACATCGAATACTATGCGGACAAAAATATATGCAGTATGTTTATAATATATGCATACTGTACATTTTATAGAAGAATCTCATGTATAATATATATATACTCATATATATATACTCATATAATATATATATATATACTCATATTACATAATATATATATATATATATATGTATATATATATATAAATGATTGTATGTATACATTATAAAATATCATGGTCATACATACTAAGGTATTGATTTGTGTATGTTCTGTGAACAAATATGTAAATGTACGTTTAACCACGTTTTCACATGGAAATGGATCGACTACAAGGCGGTGCCCCTTAAAGTCTGCTAAGTTGGTTGAGTTGGGTATACGTTCACGATGATTTATGGTACAATGTGGGGCCCCCCCAGTTATAAATTGGTTTATAAACCCCAGTAACTATAGTTATAAGTATCATAAACCATAGTTATTGGAGTTATAAACCAACTTAGCTATCTAGGGGGCCCCACTTTGTAGATACTGTATAGTATAGCCGGAGTTCATGGGATTTTTCTTCCAACAAACGTGGCAAAACTGGATGGCACCTGTATGATTGGCGAGGGGTCCCTTTCTTCACGTGGATCATCGGTTCCCATCCATCCATCCATCCATCCATCCATCCATCCATCCATCCATCCATCCATCCATCCATCCATCCACCCTCTGGTGAACTAACATAGCAATTGAAAATGGCCATTTATAGTGGATTTTCCCATTAAAAATGGGGATTTTCCATTGCTATGTTAGTTCACCAGAGGGTATCTCTATCTGTCTTTCTACCTTTTCACAAATATGTTTGTTGATCTTATCCATTTGATGAGAACTGACAAAACAATGATAGTCCATTGTCTATTTGTGGCAGGCATAGTTTATCATAATTGTCGATGCCAATGCCATAAATCGTTGGGGATGTCCTGCCCGATGCATCCCCTAATCCCATTGGAAAAAAAACAAAAAAAAACACCCGACATGTCCAACTCATCCCGCAATTGATGGAAAGTCCGAAAAAAGAAAGTGGCCTTTGTAAATTCACAAAGTACGGCCATAGTTTGTTTAATCATGACAGTTGTTGTATCACTTGATCGCCCAGTTGGGGTATATGTCCAACTCTTACGGTAGTTATGCCATAATAGTGCCATGATATATCCCCATATGTTGGATATACCACCATGAAATATCAACATTGATATGGATATATATATATATACAGTATATAATATATATATATAATACATATATATATATAAATATAATATATATAATATATATATTATATATATAATATATATCATATATATATAATATATAATATATATATAATATATAATATATATATATATAATAAATATATATATATATATAATATATATATAATATATAATATATATATATATAATATATAATATATATATAATAAATATATATATATATATAATATATAATATATATATATAATATATATATATAATAAATATATATATAATATAAATATATATTATGGCTATATTGATCATGTTGGCTCCAATCCCGCATGATTCCGCCTTTTTTTCTCCAGTTACTTAAACACCATGTGAGAAACCATCTGCTGGATATCTCTCCAATCAAATCTTCCCAATTATTTCAACATATGGAATGGATGACCTGTAGCATCAAGAGTCATCCCCCAGCATATGGTGTCCAGGGCAAGGAGGAGAAACGGGAGCAGCGGGAACAAGAACGCCACGAGCGCGAACTGGCGACCTTGGACCGGGAACGATTGTGGACCATGAGTTTGGTGAGTCGCTGGGCGATGTTGTGATGTCATGGGAATTTCCAGGCGACTACCCGGCCTGTAAACATACATACAAAAAACTATGGAAGATCCACCATTTTATAGCTGGGTAAATCAACTTATATATATATATATTTCTATGGCCATTTTCAATAGCTTTTTGTATGTTTACCAGAGGGTAATTATATGGGATTTAAAATGATTGTGGACAATGAGTATGGTGAGTCACTTGGAGAAAAATGGGGATGGGCCAAGTTACCTATGAAATAATTGTATTATCTGACTGCGTTTAAAAAAACCATCCATAAACCAAATATCTTGCGGTACCTACGGTACCTAGGCTAGGGTGTTTGACTCATGGCCATTTTTTTGGATGTTTCATGTTTTTAATGAGTTAAACACCATGGTTTTTATGGAACCAAATGGTGTTTTCAATTTCATTAATGAACGGGATTTATGGATTAAAAACCATGGGAGCTTTGTGACTTTGGGATGGGTTTCCTTAACGGATTTACGCTTCAAATCGGTGATTTGATGTGTATTTTCCCAGTGAATCCACGAATCTTGGGGATCCGATGAAGAGAATATGTATGGATTGGGGGGGTCCTTATAGGCGAATCCAAGGTTTGTAATAACTTGGGTGTCCTTTGGTTGAAACTGGGTGACTTGGTTTGGAAACCTTGGAAAACTATGAACATCAAAACCCGAAATGCTTCCCTGAAACATTTTTTCTTAAATATTCTCCAACCAGTGGCTACTGTGACAATCCTCTCAAACAGGGTAAATGTGGTGGGTGATTATGGCTGAATCATTGCTGAATCTTATTCACAATGTCGATGGTAGATCATCATTTCCCTTGACACAGCCATTTCTTGGGGGTATCCCCTATTTTTAGACACACTTATATTTGTATATCGTGATTTTCAGTTGAATCACACTTGGATGTCTTGGACGTTTATGATCATCCACTAGCACGACCACGGAATCACCACCAGATTTTGTGGTGTAGCAAGTTGAATAATTGTCCAGAGGGGACATGTAGTAATGGTGTTGACACTGCTGGTGGATCAAAGTCAAATGCTGATTGTCTGCGTGCCGTAAGAACGGAAAGTAATGTGGTTAATGTGTATCCGCATAGAATCCGTATTTATATGTTATGGAAACTATTTTGATACACATGTTCAATCATTTATATGTGATATGCATATGTTTGATACATTATGTAGACCAAAAGATGGAGACAAAATCCATTGGATTTTATGGAATGATTTTATATCTACAATCACCGACATAATTATGGAAAAAAAACGTTTCAATTTACAGGCGCCGCCTGTCTATGATAGAAAAGTTACGAACTTTTTTTTCCATAATTATTGTTTCCATAATTATTTGTTTTTCCACAATTCTGTCGGTGACTGTATGTCCATCGATTCGCAATTTGAATGCATTTTAAGGGGGAATATTGAATTATAGAAAATATGTGTCTAAAGATCTGGTATATGCCCCTAAGTCTTCTATTGATATACATAATATCATGTGATGTTCGCAATTTGAATGCATTTTAAGGGGTAATATTGAATTATAGAAAATATGTGTCTAAAGATCTGGTATATGCCCCTAAAGCCTGCCATTGGTATACATAATATCTGGATGTTTCCTTTTGCCAAGCCACCAATTGGGTTGATACTACATACTTGCATTTGCATACATATTTCCATAACCCCCAAAAAAAGCGGGTTTGAATTGTGGATCCATGACATGTCCAACAGGTGGAGTCCCAAACATTAATTATGGAAAAAAAAATATGGAAAAACCGGTCAATCTGCCCTAGCCCCCTGATTTCACAGGAAAAATCAATTATGGAAATAATGGCCACCTCCAAGAATTATGCAAAAAAAAAGGTTCGGATCACTTCCGGGATATTTTGAACCCTTATGGGGAAAAATCCAATTATGGAAAAATCGGACGCAGGCGCCGCCTGTCTAAGTTGAACGTTTTTTTTTTTCCATAATTCTGTCGGTGACCATATCCATTGTCCATCATTACGGAGTGATCTAGTTTGTACATTATGTAATGTAATGTACTGTAATGTAATGTAATGTTATGTAATGTAATGTTTTATGTTATGTTATGTATGTATATATATATATGTAGAACCAACGAAAACATGTTAAGCTGGGTCCTGGTACTTGTAAATAAATGGAGCTTTTTCTACCATCCGGTCAAGCATGGAAAATCCTCATCGATAATGAACCGGTGACTTTCCATTGCCACGTTTGATTCCCAGAGGGTACGTGGATTATGGTTTGCTATTTCTTTTTAGTTGCATAGTGTCTTAGAGATGTTTGTTTCAGCCAGTTGAATGCTCCTGGGTGGAAACATATACAAATGGGGCATTTCTAAGGGGTGATTAAACCCTATCAAGCCTTGTACTAAAAGCTTATGAAACCCCTATGATTCGAGTGTGTGAAACGACATAAAATTGCCACTTATCATGATTAATTCAATGGCCAACCAATTCATGCTGCATATTTTCATGTGAAAAACTGGTGCCCACATAGTGTCCTTTTCTGTATGATTCTGGGGATACCTTTGAGGGGCACCCCTTCAATTTTCATATTTTAATGAAAACAAACCAATAAAGTTGTTATGAGGGTGTTGATTCTATCCCCACCTTTCCATATTATGTCTATCCATCCATTTCAATTGAATCTCATCTAAATCTAAATCTAGATCTAATCATATATATATATACATACAATCTATCTATTTATCTATGAGACTTTCTATGTATACATCCTCAAAGGAGGTTCTGGTGGACATCCAATTTTTTTAATACCACTTTTGAAGCATAACCACTGGGAAGGTTCACCTTAGCAGTGACTTGGGGTCGCCAGCATGTTGCCTGTTCCAAGGTTCTTATGCCTGCAGATGTGTGGCGTCTTTGCTGCAATCTGCAAGCGATCACATGTAGATCCACACATATAACATGATGATATTATCATATATCACATATAATGAAATCATAATATATATATAGTGAATAAATCTTTCATATTGTATTATGAACTTTGATTTATATATGCTACTCATATCACATGATGTGCATTTCGATCATATTTCCCCACCTGTCCTGGTCCCTATGGAGGTGAGCTTGTTCTTTTTTTTTTCACCAGAACATACGGTGTCACTATGATAGTATAAAGTAACATGCAAAGGCATATTTGTTTGTATCATATCATACATCTATCATCGGTAGATGTGTCCGTATGATATATATATGTATATATACATATATATATATGTATATACATATATACATATATATATATGTGCATCATGTGATCCATCCCGGTCTCCAAAACCTCCAAAGACCCGGTTCGTGGTGGGTTTTGAGGTGCGGCCCATGTTGAATCGCTTGCAAGTGGCGGATCAGCGGCAGTTGGATCCCAACGAGGCGCAGCGTCGGGACAACAGTCGGGAATGTATAACCCAATCCGAGATATCCAGTGATAACTATAATACATGGCCATGACGATTTATTAACCATCCATTATTACTGGATAATGATAGTACTGGAATCGTAAGTGGATTTAAACATATTATAATCTCAGTAAAAAAATGTGGCATAAGTGGAGTTAATCATACGGATAGCTGCTTGCTGGCTCTGTTATTATTTAGGCTATTTTAACAATGGTCTTTGACCCCCAGGGTATATATATCTGGGTAAATTATAACGACCTCACTGCGACCTCACTGGAAATCATAGTTAGTAAGAGAAATCATCCCCAAATGGCCCCAAGATTCAGGTTAGTGAAATATTTTTTTTTTAATTTACCCATATATATATATATATGCCATTCATATATGATCATTAATATGGTTATAGGATGCTATTATAGGATGTGGATTAATATATGTATAGGGATTTTTGGTGGATGACTTGGTGGCTCATCCCAGGAAAAAAGTGGATTTAATCCGATTCAATCCACCAACCAGGGTTTAGTTCACCCACGTTCGATTCGTGGGACGAGCCACCACATAAAATAAAATAATAATAATAATACTAATACTAATTAATAATAATGATGATAATGATAATAATATGTAATGATAATAACCAATAACGATGATATTGATGCTCGTATGATAATCATGATGATGATAATAGCGATGCTGATAATATTAATGAAACATGAGACTAATAATATTGATCATGATACTGCTGATTACAATAGTGATGATGATGATGATGATGATGACGATGATGACAATGACGATGACGATGAAAGCCGCAGAACGTTGACAATGAAAGGAGTCTTTGAGATCGATGTGAGCCGCTCGTTGGAGGATGAAACCGAGTGGCTGATGGTGGATGTTGGCAGATGTTGGATGACCAACAAGATGACTCGTCTCCCCGCCGCCAACGTGATGCCAGTCGTGGTCGGAACAAAATGCCGGCATTGGCAGACCCATAGTCTAGTGTGGGTGGCATTGGCAGCACCATCGTCTGAGCGTGGGTGCAAAATTATTTTCCACAATGCTGAACGGCATGGTAGTGGACACCTGGAATGGCCAGATGCGAAAACAGCATGGCCTTTGAAAGTTAAAAGGAATGCATGAGCTGACACTGGGCAAGGTCACTAGGTCACTGCAATGAAAGCTATGAATGGATCATGTTCTATGTAAACGGCTGATGATGATGATGATGATGATGACGATGATGATGACGACGACGACGACGATGATGATGATTGCAACACAATAGAATCTACCTCCCCCAATTTTACCATAAATGGGATGTACACACCAGAATAATAAGGGTGGTTTTTGACTTTGCATGTTTAACATTGCGCTAGGTTTTCTATGTACAGTAAAATGTGGAGTTTACCCATCATGAAAGCAGGGAAACCCGATGTTTTTTTTTCCACATCTACTTGATATCTACTTGTTTGTTTGCCCTAGAGTGTAATGGTCGTGGATGGTTTTCTGTGGGAAAGAGAAGAACTCAAAAACATTTTTTTGGGAATAACCTTCAGAACGGTGGATTTTTATAACTAACCAACATGATAACAACTTACTAAGTGGAAGCCACCAATTATAGTTGGTCTAATGTTTTATACCGCCCCCATTTTAAGGTCAAATCGCCATTAAAAAACAATGCCTCCCCTACTCAAATGCTGATCCCGATTCCCATGAGCTAAGCGTTACTTATGAATATAGCTAAACTGGTTTATACCCTCTGGTTATGTAACCGTTTGCTACCGTTTGCTATGGAAAATCTAATTTTATATAATTAATTTGCTAGGTAAATCATAATGTTTATCGTCTAGTTCTATGGGCCAATTTTCATACCAATGTTCAAGAACCAGAGGGTAACTGTAGTTAACCAGGGTTTAGGGTGATTACAACTGGATTAACTGGCGGGCAGCACCCATGCAGTTGATTTAGGGGTTATATATACCCTCTGGTTATTTAACATAGCCATGGGAAATGGCCCATAGAAATAGATGGTTTACCTAGCTATAAAATGGGTGGATTTTCCATGGCTATGTTAAATAATCAGATGGTAAACCCTAAATGGTTGATGGTTTGGAACATTGTTTATTTTCCCCAATAGTTGGGATGATCCAATCTGACTTTCATATTTTTCAGAGGGGTTGAAACCACCAACCAGCTAAATGGTTAAACCACGAATCGCAAATTGTGGTAACGTCTCCTTGGCAGTTGCTGGTCTTTGCGGATTTCGCCAATCTGATGGCTGCCATGGTCCAGAGCATCTTCGACAACGAGATGCGTTGTGTTACACAGGAGCCCTAGGGATGCGGAGCTGTGCAGAGATACAGGGTGACAGGGGTGACTTGATGTGTATTATATACTGTTATGTATGTATATATATATATATATTAAGTTGTAGATGTTTCATACACGCATAGATGCATTAAAAACGTACATATCACATGCTTATAGTTTAGTATGTACACAAAGACGTGTAAGTAAATATATATATATATATACAGTCATATACAACTACAGTCATATACAATCAGATGCAATCATACAGTATTACAATCATTTACAATTATATACAATCATATACACATACATATGCATATACATTTACATATACAAATCATATATGCATATGTGATATGATACGAATATTTTTTTGAATATTATAGGTGATATATATATATGTGTATATAAATATATATATATATACATATTTGTGTATGCACATATATGTATTCTCCCTTTGCAACTTATCTCACGTTGGATAATCCACAAACTATTTGCTACTACCAAATCTACCATCAACCGTAGTTCCGATTATAGCGAGTATGATCCAATTAATGTGTATTGTAGCTGGTATTATGATGAGCTTAGTTGGCCCCACTTACCAACTATCCCTTCCAATCATCAAAATCCCCACCTTCGAGGCTCCAAGTGATATTATTTTGATGGATTCTTAACTTTCATATACCATGTGTTCCACTTAATAAAACATATATAAATACTTTTCCCGTATGAACATTCAACTCACCTATTTAGCTGGAATGTCCAACCCCAATCCTCGACAAGATGGTGCCCTCCAGTTAAGAGTTGGTTTTTAGAAATCCCATGAACTAGGGTTACTTTATAGTTATAACAATGTCCATAAATCATCATAAATCCTCATAAATCCTCATTAACATTAATAAACCGCCTTAACTAACATAAATCAATTCTGAATCCCCCATGTTTCTTGCTTTTCACCATTTCTTAACGCATTTTGGGGCATCCCCGACCAGTGGTCCACAGCAGGACCACAAAAAGAAGGCAACCCTCAACGGCCTCGACGCCCTCCCAGCGCTGCAGAACGGCACCGGCAACGGCGCCGCCGCCAGCGCGGGTGGAGCGGAGGGCGCAGCAACGGAGGGGGCGGAGGCCGGAGGAATGTCTACCCTTGGGATGTGGATCAATACCTATTAAATCCTATTAATACCATTTTTAGGGGAATGAACATCCATTTACCAGCTATTTTGATGCCAGGGGTACAAGGTTTTGACACACTGCCATGTCAACTCTCTGGTTTTTACGTTTACATAGCGGAAAATCATGGAAAATCATGGAACATCATGGAAAATCAACATGTTGAATGGGAATTCAACTATTCCTATGGCCATTTTCAATAGCAAACTGTTAGTACCAGAGGGTACCGGGAGCCGATTTTCCATGGGAGTTTTTGAGGTGTCCCAGTATGTCCCAGGTTGGAATAGCTGGTTGTGTAGATTGTGAAAAATATGGGGTGGCGAATATCAGACCATAGGAATAGTTGAATTCCCATTCAACATGTTGATTTTCCATGATTTTCCATGATTTTCCATGATTTTCCAGTGAAAATGGAGATAATTTTTTAGAACTTTAGGGGAATACAGAAAAGGAATAGGAATACAAGATTTGGATCCGATTGCTTTGGAGAAAAAATGGACCATGGACCCTGAAAATCGTGAACTGAAGCATCAAAAACAAAATTGTGTCAAACGTTTTTGTCATTCAAGATCTGGATTTTAACGACTATACCTCATGGGTCAGGCAACAATATGGGTTGGATGGTTAGTGAATCAGCAAGCCATGGGTGAAATGACGGCTGATGGGTTGATTCTCCTGTGTTCATGAAGGAATCGGAGCCAGTTGGTGCAGTTGTTGGTGATCACAAGTTGTGTGTTCCCAAGTTGTGGCATTTCATTATTTGGGTGAACCAGTCATTAATAGGGTAAGGCTCTCGCTTCGGGATACGTCGAATGCATCTGCATCGCTTCGGGCTACGCCTCATGCATCGCTTTGGGATACCTCTTCCTCATCATCATCATCATCATCATCATCATCCTCCTCCTCATCATACCCCCAACCAAACCCTAAATGGCTGAGTCAAGTAATAGATAAGAAGAATGATCCCTCCCCACCCCCCCAACCAAACCTTAAATGGCTGAGTCAAGTAATTAATTAGATAAGAAATGATAAGAAGAATTATCCCTCCCCACTCTCTCAACCAAACCCTAAATGTCTGAGTCAAGTAATTGGATAAGAAGAATGATGTTTTCCGTGTTGCCCAAAGTGCTGTTTTCCGTGTTGCCCAAAGTGAGCGTGCAAAGTGCGAGGAGTGTGTGATTTCTGCATGTTGCCTGAAGTGATGCGTTTGGTGTTGCCCAAAGTGATGCGGGTACCGTTAGGGTAGACTCCACATTCAAGTAGGACAAAGGGGTTGCTGATAAACCCATTAAGAAAACATAAGAAAACTGTATCTAAGAAGACATAAGAAGACCCATTTGGAACCACAAAAAAATTGCCTGTCATTTTTGAGAGTTCACCAAATTCTTTGGGGCTAAATGGTGGAGAAATATGAAGTGCAAGTCTTGGTGGTACAATCCGATGCGGCCAGTTTCTTACATGGTTCCTGGAGGTGGAACCCCCCGAAACCCATTGGTTCCGCATGATCTAAGGCTTTTGTATAGAACTTTGAAAACCACCATATGCTCGGTGTGTCGCAATAAAAACTTGCATGTGTTTGTTTTGCAAGGAACATGCTTTAGGGGTTTCCGGTTCCGATCCTCAGTCGCTGCGAAAAAAGCGGTTCCTCAAGTCACGATGTCACTGGATTGATGGCGAATGGAAAAAGCCATCTGCAACGATCCCAGTTTTTATGGCTGAACTATTCAGGTTAGGGGTAATTATAACATGGTTAAGCAATATTACTGTATGTTAAGCCATATTAGTACAGCATATTACTATCCCAGTTTATATGTTAAGCCATAATTACAACATATTACTGTAGGTACTAATATGGTTGGAGATATACCCAAAATATCCCAAAACTAGATATTAGTATGTATGAATTACCCTCTGGTTATGACTAACAGATCGCCATGTTATAGATGGCCCATAGAAATAGATGGCTTACCATGGCTTACCTATTAATAACATGGTGATTTTCCATGGCAAACTGTTAGTCATAACTAGATGGTATAACATATTATGAGACATTATACTAAAATATTTCAGATTACGGCGTGACACATCATGAGATATCATGACATATTATGGCATAGTCATGACTCATGACATATTATGACAAAAGGGATACAATGATTGTCACTGATTACATATTTTTGTGCCGACGTGGGGCGTTCATATGCGGAGCTACATGCCCATATTGCTTGAGATTTTTCTGGACCAGTGCGCGACTGCAACAACATCTTGCATCCCGCGAGGTGGGGGTGTCAACATCTGTTTTCAGGCCTTGACCGAACGGGGATTCACCACTGAGTACCAAGCGATTGGGGCGCCCAAGCATCTCCAAGGAGCGGTGCGACTTGACGCACTACAGGCCCCGGGGCCCCTTTGCCTCTTTTCAACACACGAGAAGGAGATCGCCGCGGTGCACACACTGATCCGCAGCTTGGAAGAGGAGCTCACCATCAATGCTGTTCCCGCTGACCACCTGATCGCAGGCCAGGAGCTGAGCGATCGGCTCTCCAAGTGCACACGCATTTGGGTTGAGCGATTCCCACCAAAAATTGATACTTAAATTGCATAAACTTTTGGCATTCCCTGTAGTATATCCCCATTGTACCACAAGTACACCCCATGTTTGATAGTTTACGGCCTCATCAGATCCCGATATTTTTAAATTCCCCCAAAATATTGGTTGACGCCATGCCAGTCTTGGTTTCAACCCAAAACTAGGACACTGGAGCCACGCAGAGCGATGCCATGGTGGTGGCTGCGGACACGGCAGGTGAGCTTTCGGAAAAACACCGGGGTCAAAACCAGCTGTTGGTTGGTGTTTTTTTTTGTTTTGTTTTTTTGTGGGGATGATACTAAGTACTAACCTAACCAAGCTGATTTTTTTTGGGGTGAGATACTCGCCAACATGTTTGGACCTTGGGATGTTTTCGGTGATCACTTGATCCATCTCAGGGGATTCCCGCGTCACCAAGATGGACGAGTGACCAGTCGGCCCAGTCACAACGATGGCCGATGGCGAGCAAACGATTGTACAATATTTTTCCTTGCTCTATAGCTTTTATACATCATGATATCAATCATGATACATCATGATATCAATCATGATATTATATAAATATATTATGAATGGCAAAGAACATATGTTGTTTCCCCCAATGGCCCATTTGTCATCTTCTTGAATAATATATTGTGTTTTTTTCCCTCAGCAAAAAAACAGACTTATGAACCCCATGAGGTACAGTTGTATGTAAACATATATAGTATAAACCATATACTTCGTTCTAAGCAAACTTATTCTTATTGTAAACGGCGTCCCCGCCTTGTTTGTTTTGTTAAATTCCGTATAGTCATATCATGATATAGAGTATAAATGGATATAAATGGTATAAACCATAGTTATAACTTATAGTTTTATATATGGTATAAACCATAGTTATAACCTATATAGTTGTATATATATATATATGATAGCTACCTTAAAGGGCCAAAGGCAGTCCAAGTCGAGTCAGGTGCCCTGCAGCCGGTGGAGGCCAAAAAGAAGGCGGCACCCAACGCCTTGTCCGAGGACACCGGGTGACACTGCGTTGCGCACCGGGCTTGACAGCGCGGCGCAACGCACAGCGGGTGGATGGTTGGATGGATGGGATTGGTAAAAAAAACGTCGAACTTGATAGTTTAAGCGGTTTATCACGAAAGCTAGCGTCAGCTAGCTGGAGTCTTCTTGCTTTAGCAAGTATTGGGGGGGCTGCTCAAGGACATCACGTGATTTTTCACGCGAAAGGGGGGCCCCCCCCCCTCCCCCACCACCACCACCATCACCACCATCACCACCATCACCATCATCATCATCATCGTCATCATCATCGTCATCATCATCGTCATCGTCCTCTCCATCGTCCTCGTCCTCGTCCTCGTCCTCGTCATCATAATCGTCATCATCATCGTCATCATCATCGTCATCGTCCTCTCCATCGTCCTCGTCCTCGTCCTCGTCCTCGTCATCATCATAATCGTCATCATCATCGTCATCGTCATCGTCATCGTCCTCTCCATCGTCCTCGTCCTCGTCCTCGTCCTCGTCATCATCATCATCATCATCATCATCATCATCATCGTCATCATCATCGTCATCGTCCTCTCCATCGTCCTCGTCCTCGTCCTCGTCATCGTCATCATCATCGTCATCATCATCATCATCATCATCCTCGTCATCATCATCATCATCATCATCATCATCATCATCATCATCATCATCACCATCATCATTCATCATTCATCATTCATCATTCATCATTCATCATTCATCATTCATCATTCATCATCATCGTCATCATCATCATCATCATCATCGTCATCGTCATCATCATCATCATCATCATCATCGTTATTCAATTACATTTTATCATTATTGGCAATTATTGTCATTATCACGAAAGCTAGCGTCAGCTCGCTAGAGTCTTCTTGCTTTAGCACGTATTCCGGGGCTCGCCAAGGACATCACGTGATTTTTCCCGCGAAAGGGCCCCCCCCTGCCCCCTCCCCCATATATATCATTGTTATATATCATATATCAATATATCATTGTTGCATCCTCGTTGGGACGAACAATGCCGCGACACGATGCTGACAGTCCCTCCGCAACTCACCTCTTCCCTTCCTTCTTTCTCCTGCCCCGCTAGCTTTCGTCATCCACCCCCGGCCTCAAGTAATCTGGTTGGTGGTTTTTCGAAGATTTTTTCCATATGGGATAATCCTTCCCATTGACGAACTCATATTTTTCAAGATGGTTAAAACATGTTAAAACCACCAAACAGAATATGTTGAATATTGATTTCTGATGTTTTTTTTCTGACTGTCAAGGCATAAACCTGTCATATAATTACCATTCAAAATATTCAAAGAATGAAGCGTGTCACCATTCAAAAGAAAATATGTTTAAAGGAGAGTACGATGCCAAACTCTGGGGCTCCAGATTTGAGGTTTGTCGCCTCAAACCAACTTGGCTTATAATCCATAGACCATTGTATCAACATCTCAGAGATGATTATTGGATATTATTGGTATCGCCAATGTGTGCCCTACAGTTGTTTCAAACATCTTTTGGAGTCCATACAGCTTTGAAAAATCCGAGAAGAGGCATGGTTCGACCGAGGTATCGCCCTGCCTCAGTCTTAAAAGATGTGGATTATTTCAAGATGTCAGCATTTGCAACAGCAACTAAATGCTTGTGTCTGAATAGGGTGCTGGTATACCTCCACTTGATGGACAGGTTGAAAAAATATCCACTGTTTTTTTTTTAGATAGCGAACATGGCCCAAATTTTAGAGTTGATTTACCCGTAGCCATGCAAACATGGTGATTTTCCCATAGGTTTTTTGATGTTTTTTGTTTGAGTTGACCAGAGGCTATTTTATTGGCCGCTCCGGCTCGCCAGACCAGATGGCCTGGAATCCTAGAGGATCATCCACCAACAAAACTGCAATAGTGAACAAAGCCACATAGACGATTCGTGGGTAGTTCGCCACCAAGTAATAACAACAATAAGGATCATAATATATCATAATATGACAACTAATAAGGATCATAATGACAACAACTAATTAATAAGGATAATCAACAATATAACAATATATCACTAATCATCATCATCATACTATATAATAATGATAACAACTAAGGATCATAATATATCATAATGATTGTTTCTGAACATTCCCATTGCACTCTGCTGCAAGGACGCACGTGCCACGGTCGTGGAAGAGGTGATTCCACCCATTACCATCAAGGCGACGGCGTGATATGGCGCGCCCTGCATCGCCGGCTGCGGTCTAACTAGGGCAGTCACCACCACAGGTTTGGACAACTATGATATAATATAATATAATACAATATAATAGAATATAATATAACATAACATAATATAACATAATGTAATATAATATAAATAATATAATATAGTATAATATAATATAATATATGTATATGTATATACATATGTACGTATGTACTGTATACAATTATATATATATATATAACTGTGCTATAACTATGGGAATAACTGTTGTAATGCGTATAGGTTTGTAGCAAATGAGTATAACTGTGGTTTATCCATGGTAGAACTGTACTAGAATATGAGTATAACGGTATAACTGTGGCCTAACTATAATTTTGGATACAACCCAACATATGGCTATTTGGTGGTCCCGCCAGCTTCGCAAATGGACTAATAATGACTAATAACCACAGTTTTAGCTGGACTAAACCTACTTACCGCACCAACTGGGGTGAACCACTCGGGTTGAAGCAGGAAGGCAATGAAGAGATGATGATTTCTGGTCTCTGGCGGGTGAAGGCTAAAGTCCAGTAGTTAATGTACTTATGATTTACATTAATTTACATTAATTAACTACTGGACTTTAGATAGCTATGTAGTTATCTGGGGTAAATTAATGTAAATTATAGTGACCTCACGGAGACCGATGGAATTATGGGAATTGGATTCAGGGAATCATCCTCAATATGGCCTTATTTCAGTGAACTATTATCATTTACCCAGATCAATCCAGACATTGCACTGGGTCTGAAAATGGGGTACACCCCCACAAATGTCCTTTTGAAGAGGGTAAATGAATATAATTCAATATGGCAGTGTGTCAAAACCTTGTACCCCTGGTGAACATCAAAATAGCTGGTAAACGGATGTTCATCCCCCTAAAAATGGTATTAATAGGTATTGATCCATACCTATAAAACTTACATCATATCCCCATATATTGTTCTAGATACATTAAAAAAACAACTTCACTCTGACATGGTCACTGGAAGGGCCAAGCGCTCGCGAGAACAGCAGGTCCAATCCCGATCAAACACATCAGAATTAGCATCTAAATATAGTGGTACTTGTAAAAAAGCTGTTGTCAGAGACATCACTTGTAATGTTCATGGAAATGCTGTGTATGTATGTATGTATGTATGTATGTATATATATATATACGTAATATATATATATATATATACGTAATATATATATATATACGTAATATATATATATACGTAATATATATATATATATATTACGTATATATATATATACACATAATATGTCTATGGTTGTCTATGTATGATAGTTTAATCATTTTTGATCCACATTCGTTTTGGGTTGTGCAGTTGTTGTAGCTTTGAATTGCATTTGTAGTTACAAAAGCTTGACATTTGGTGATCAGTAAGTACCCCAATTACTCGGGCAATACCCAGTCAATGAAGTTTTGTTGGGGCTCATCAGTGTTTATTCATAGGGGAAGAGATTCGTGTGAATGGCAGAAGCCGACTTATGACTACTTTTGTTGTTCTTACGCTGCTATTGTGATTTAAACATATACAAATCAATATACGCTGTAAATATACGGATGTAAAATATGTCACCGTATAGATATGTATATTTATATATACATATATGTATAACATATATGTGTATATGGTTAAACGAAACATACATGCTATTCTTTCATAGCTGACCCATACTGAGACTTGCCATGGTTCCTATGGCCATGAAATGGTTATATCATGGGAGATACAATGGGGACACATTTTTTTTTGACCACTGATGAAATTGTTTGCTGGTTTCAAAGATGTTTCATGTTCAACAATATGGAGGGTTCCACGAATGGGGCATCCCCAAAATGGATGGTTCACAATGGAACATCATCGAAGGAAGTTTAGAAGTCAAACTTCCGACAATATGGACAGATGAAAAGCAGAGTAGGGGAGAGGCAGAGAGAAGAGGAAGATTAGAAGAGAGAAGATGAGAAGAGAAAGGGTCAGAAGAAAGAAGATACAGATGCGCGAAAAGGTAGGAAAGTCGCGAAACACTGTGTTTTTCCAATGATTTGTGGCTCAGGAGGGTCGAAAAGTAGGCTCGCTAAAGCGGCGGGTGCGGAGCCAGCTGGTCACAGGAGCGATGAAAAATTGCACGCCGTTGTGGCGCGAAGCACATTTCGAAGTCAAAAGTGTAAAAAACTTAGGGTTTTGAGCCTTTTTTGACGTGAAGATGTCGAAAAAGTAGACATTGATTAACTTAACTAACTTGACTAACTTAACTAACTTCACTAACTTAACTACCCTAACTTCGACGACAACAGCAACAGCAACAGCAACAACAACAACAACAACAACACCAACCACAACCACAACAACAACAACAACACCAACCACAACAACTACAACAACTACAACTACAACAACTACACGACAACCACAACTAGAACTACAACTACAACAACTACTACAACAACAACAGCAACAACAACAACAACAGCAACAACTACAACTACAACTACACAACAACTAGAACTAGAACTACAACTACAACTACAACAACTACAGCTACAACAACAACAACAACAACAACAACAACAACAACAACAACTACTACTACTACTACAACAACTACAACTACAACAACTACAACAACTACAACAACAACAACAACAACAACAACTACTACTACTACTACTACTACTACTACTACTACTACATTACACAACAACTACAACCACACAACAACTACAGCTACAACTACAAGAACAACTACAACTACAACAACTACAACTACAACTACAAAACAACTACATCTACAACTATATGACTGCAACTACACTACACTCATTACATTACACCACAACTACAACTCCACTACGCTACAACTACAACTACAGTTGCAGTACATCACACTACATCCAGCAGTTGTGGGTGAGATGACCACTGCAACCATTGCAACCATTCCAGCAAACACAACTCCAACCACCTTTCGGTCAATCAGTGGATTTGCTCTGCCATCCGTGATTCACAACAACCAACGTCTCCTATAGGTTTCCTATTCTGAAACTTCCGCCACCGCCTTGTGCGGCACTACTGGTATTTAAATGGAAACCACCATATGAATCATATGACATTGTGATCATCAATGACCACGTCATATTTTTTCGGCCTTGAAACCGCCGTTGCGAACTCCGAACCGAGCAGTTTGATCCTGGGTTGACAATATATGGAGTTGTCTGAAAATACTGTGGATGGTTGCAAAACCCTGTGCCACTTGGTAACTATATAATCTAATGGTAACTATGAAACACTGTAAATAGTGGGACAACATAGTGGGATAAACCATGTATCAACTGGTTTTTTGGATTTATTCCATCCACAGTAGGATACCCTCAAACCCATTAAATATTAATTGGTTAATCACCATTAGCCCATCCAATAAATGGCTTGGGATATAGCCCATTTTCAGACAACCCCAATGAATGGATGCATGTGAAGACTGGTTATCAGCTGGGATAGACCAAGAAAGAACACCAACCAACTTGGTTGGTGAGATACCAAACGGCCAAACAAATATTAAACAAAAACTGTCCTTTCCATGTTTCAGCCATTCTTAGAAAAACCAAAAACATACCATGTATGTGTTTTTTTGTTCTGAGAATGGCTGAACATGACATACAACATCATACAACATGTTTCATGAGCTGTTTTCCGGAAAGATGATCGAGCCTAGCAGGCATTGGTGCACTTGTTCCTCTACGCCATCCACCAGGCCTGGAACGATTCATGCGGATATCCCATGGGTAACCAATATTAACCAATAACCAATGGCTTGTGGACAAGTTATTGGATTTGCGTGATGGAGCTGGTGGGTTAGGTATAAACTTGTTTTTTTTGCCCGAATTCGAGCTCGAGCTCGGTGTTTTCTGCTGCTGGTGTTAAACTGTTAAAGCCCCAAAAATGGCAGACAGGTGTTAAACTGTTAAAGCCCCATGACAACTCATGACAGCCCCCATGTTTTCGCAGCATCTCCAGGAAGCCATTGCCTTCCGCAACGGCGCCTCCAGTGAGGCCTCGAGATTTGACCCTGGGGATGATCGGGCTGGGGGGGGTGGTTTACCATTTGGGCGGGCTGGGGTGGTTTTAGTGATAGGGAGAGAGGATTAACTATGGCTTATGGATGTTATGGTGATTATAGCATATTATAGCTAGAGTTAAATGGCTAAGCCAAGTTTTGAAGGGAATCACCTTGTACAAAAAATGCCAGAATATTTTTTGTTGGCAGGAGGTATTTCACCAAGCAACACTGTAATAAGCAACCTTGCCACTGATACTGAGGTACCCAAGTTGCACGCAAAACTCGACTTGCCAGTACTAGTATTACCAGAAACAGTTATTACCTCATTTTATCACGCGGTAACTGTTTGGTAATAACTATTTTATAAACAAACAACAGTTCACAATCGACATAGCCAGTGATTAAATTGGCTACCCAATTTTCAGAGACTGCGGTACAGACAATGTATGATGGTTGCCGGTGGATCCCATTTTCTGTTGGTGAACCCCCAATGTTTACGTAATTCATATGTTGTCCAATCATTTTTTTTCGTACACGTTACAAGTGGAAAGTGCTTTCCCTGTAAAAATAATAGCGAACTTACCACGACCTCAAATTATTTTCTGGTGTTTAGTGGGGGATCATCCTGGACATAAAAAGGTAGCGGAACTAAATAGCCCAGTTATCCCCAAACTGCGTCAATCTTGGATTGCCATCATTTCTGGTTGTTTTTGTTGGGATGTGAATCATTATGATTTACCCAGATTCGAGTCACGATAGCCAATTCAATAAAACCTCCAGACAGGTGCCTCGGAGTTACAAGTTGGCTATTATTATCACTTGGATCCACTTGGGTAAAAACACATGTGGCACCTGGCAACAGATCCCCATAATATCTCCGAAAAAATATTCGCATCGGTTGTTTTACTCCTTTGGTATCCATCGGGTACTTGGAATGCGAGGTTAAACATGGCGCCATAGCTCAAGAGTTTGGGATATAACTAGCCCTATTAGCCTATGATCTATGATGATCTATGGTTATGTGAACTTTTTTCCTCCACTTACAGCGAAAAAACTGCACTTCGAAGTACTGCTGGATGTGCATCCCAGTTAGTACGTGCTTCACAGCCAGAATTTAACCCAATTATATAATATGTATATATATATGGGATATATCCAGATTCTATATGAATGATAGCCTACTCGCTCTAAGGGATGACTTCCACTATATCCACTGTAATGACTTAAAACTGGAACTGTAGTCGCTCGGGATATGTTATCCCAATTGGATATTTGTTTCAAACACCATATATTACCCTCTGGTAATTTAACATAGCTATTGAACATGGGCCATTTTATAGTGGATTTACCCATTGAACATGGTGATTTCCCATAGTTTTTTGTATGTTTACCAGAGGGTACCATACTATTCAAAGGAAAGGAAGTTTAGCAAAGTAATTCATCATCCAAATGGTGGATTTCACTCTGGATTTCATCCAGGCAAAATGCGCATAAATCCCCTCTGGTAAATTAACACAAATATTGAAAATCACCATAAAGGGAGGTAAATAAATCAATAGTATCAGTTTACCGGAGGGTATCATCCCCATTGAATTTGGTGAAATCACCATTCAACCACATTAAATCACCAAATTAAGTCCCATTAAATCACCACTCTAAAAAGCTAGATCATGGTAAATCAACTACAAATGGTCCATTTTCATCCATTTTCCATAGCTATGGTAGTTTACCGGAGGGTGTAGTTCATCAATGGGAATTCCAGGATCCTAAAATGGAGGTACCGTACCATATAAGGCCATATTTTGCTGGGAATATCCCCTTACATAGGCCTAAAATATCGGCCTTATATATGGATACATATGGTAGGTACCTCCATTTTAGGATCCTGAAATGGCCATTGATCATTTAAATCACCAAATTAAGTCCCATGAAATCACCATGCTCCAGGTGCCCGTTCGGCTGATCAGCGCCATGATCAACGCCTGCATCGCGGCCTTGGCGGCGGTGATGACGCTGGGACATGGGCTGTGATGGGGCTGCAACGGTGGAAGCCGTTCGGAATGGTGATGTCATGTATTTTTAATGGTAATATCCATGGTATTTAATGGTAATATCCATGGTAATATCATGTAATATCCATGGTATTTAATGGTGTGAAGTAGTGTTTAATGGTGTTCAATGGTTCTTTCATGGTGTTTGATGCTGTGTAATGGTGTTTCATGGTAATATCCATGGTATGTCATGGTAACGTCCATGGTGTGTCATGGTAATATCCATGGTATTTCATGGTAATATCCGTATTTAAAGGTATTTTTCGTGGTATTTATCCATGTTTTTCTGGTTTATATAATGATGCATGGATCATATTTCGTGGTAATACCAGCATGGAGAATATGGATATACCAAAATGATTTCATACACTTCAATGGGAATATCCATACATGATCCATGTTGGTATGGATCAAAATGATTCAAAATGGATGTTTAATGGTTCCGTTCGTATATTTAGATGGTTGTTCTCATGTTTAGAATCCGTATGTTGAAATGGCAGGGCGAGCCAAAGAACATCTTCCCGGAGGTAGTCTAAAATACCAGTTCCTATATCAAAAATCCATGTTCATGAATTTTAGGGTAGTTACCATATATGTAATACATTGGTTGGTTGATGCTGGTTGAATATCACAAATATTGTTGGTTGATGAATGTTTGAATCCCTCCATTCCAGATCAATCCAGCTGGAACTGGCAACCAATACCGTTTGGTAGACATAGCTGTGGAACATCACCATTAACAACGGCAAATCATCAAATTATTTCTGGACTATGCCTGGACCCATGTTAGATTTCCAGACCATCATTTGGTTATACACAGCCATCATATTCCCATTTTAGATGCTTAAATCCACATGAAATTCCCATCTTTTTGGAGGTGAGTGTTAACCTCGGATGAACAAAAAACCATGATCTATGACAATTCGGCGGGTACTCCTCAAGTCTCAAGTAGTAAAAAATCATCTATCCATATCTATTCCGCCAAAATCAACAGCGGGGTTGATTTTTTTCCAGGGTTGACACTCCTGAAAAAATCGGCCAAAACATTCTTAAGTCAGGAACCTCACGGGCAGCAGCAACGCTTTAGACTTGCCCTTTGACTCTGTCGAGGTGGGGGTCACTGGGATTTAATCAAAAATGAGAATGTCAATGTGATTAAAACAATGATAAACCATCCCCCAAATCACCAGAAATAGGTGGTATAAACAGTATAAACCACAACCAAATGGGTAGTTTATTATTTGTTTAACCTCGTTAGTAAATAATAGTAAATATCATCCATACGAAAATTTTTCCATTGTACAGTAAGTAGGGA